GTGGGGGGGGGAGGGGGGGGGGGGGTGAAGATGTGATATAGGAAACATTATAGTGAGATTTTTGGAAGTGTTTTAAAAAAAATTTTAAAAGAAGTACTCACAGTTTCTGGTTAAATACTTTGCATACATGTGGGGGGTTAAAATTTATAGTAGTAACATTTAAAAATAAAATGGAATAGTAACAATCTTAGTTTTGAGTAGTAGAAAATTTGTTAGAGCTAAGATAGTGGCTAGAGTTGTGGCTTACCCACAAAGTGGACTATGGTTCACTTTCTAGCTGCTAGTTTGACTCTGGGGTTCACCCAGCCTTATAAAATGGTAGCATCCGTGTTTATTATGAGAATGGAAATACACAGTAAAGGAAGCTGGGCACCTCACATCATAATTCTATGATAGTACATATGACGGCGAATTTTACTTCTCAGACATGGTCACTTACAATAAACTAGAAAAGAACATTAGTAATCATGGAAACGAGATGTCTGAGAAGGGCTGCTGGGGTTACCTGGAGAGATCAAATCAGAAGTAGTAAAGTCATAAGCTAACAAAAGTTGGCATAGAACTCTTTCTAAATTACAAATAGTTTGCCCACTTAGAATGCCTTGTGACGCTGTACAGTACAAGGCATATGCCAAAAGAGGAGATGAACAAGACCATGAGGTAGACCAAGAACATAAAAGATAACATCAGAGAAACTCTACAACAGCATGATGTATCTATGGCCGAGGCAGACAGAAGAGCGAAAAAGCAGAACATTTTATCTCCCTCGACAACTAAAGTGGTAAAAGAGCTTAAGAGAAGAAAGCTTAATGTTTATACCCTAAACCTGCCGGATTCAAAATACAACAGTTACAAATGACAAAATGATTGTTGCTGTTATCACCAGCATACGACACAAACAGACAATGATACAATTAAGTTTTGGGTAGGTATGAGTACAAATCTGAGAGCCCCTGTGGTGTAGCTGCTAGGCGCACATCTATGGATCTGACAGTTTTGGGTTCAAGTCTTGACAGAGCTTGGCTTTTTTTAAAATGTCCTTGGCTCGCAGGTTGACCCAGGTTTAAATGTGTAAGTCATCGGAGTAAAGGTGGCTGGCATGATGTTGACCACATCACCGCCAAGTCTAGCCCTACATGCCCAATAACCCTGAAGATGTGGACAAGTTAGTTGCATGTTCTTTGCGGAACCTGCCCTTTTTTTTTACTGTTGTAGTTTTTCTAGGCAACTTTGTGTGCACATTGCCATTGCTACTATACGGGCAGCTGTCAATATTGCTCTTGAAACCACCACAAAGCGGTCTGCTGCCAAACTGTTGCATCTGGGATCGAACCCAGCATTATGAAGTGGGGTCACACCGCCTAAGCTACAGACACAGGCTTTACAGTGAGGCCTTCAAAAATCGTCATCTATGCCTGAACAGTAAATATTCTTCTCGGACCCTGCGTCTGTTTCGGTTTTGGATGAAAATTTAAAAATCATTGGCCACACAGCAATTTTCTTTCTCTAGATTGTGTTTTTATTACAGTGAAGCAGCTTCCGTTGTAAAAATGCTTTTTGTCAAGAGTGAAGAATAAATCCGATAACAGCCTTTAGTTTGTTCACTTGATATGTATGAACATTGCTTGTCTATGACAATAAACGGAGCTTTCTCTAACATTGTTCTGTGTAAAGTTTTGTCTCATACTGTCATTGTTGGCCCAGTGTGTGAAAGTGTGGTAATTACCCATGCAAGTATGACAGTTTGAGAATTAGTAGTATATGTGGGACCATTTGTGAAATTTACAGTGTATGTGTGACCGTTTGGGAAATCTACAGGATATGTGTGACAGTTTGGGAAATCAACAGTATATGTGTGACCGTTTGAGAAATCAACAGTATATATGTGACAGTTTGGGAAATCTACAGGATGTGTGTGACAGTTTGGGAAATCAACAGTATATGTGTGACCGTTTGGGAAATCTACAGGATGTGTGTGACAGTTTGGGAAATCAACAGTATATGTGTAACCGTTTGGGAAATCAACTAATCCTCTTCTTCTTCTTCTTCTTCTTCTAGAAAATTATTCTATACTTTTCACATTCAGACCCACATAGACTATCGCTATGCAATATGGGATGGATGTGCAAATTCAGTCATCAAACTACTGAAAGCACTCAAGGGAAGGGCTGTTCGTTTAATCGCTAATAGTCAGGGAAGTGACTGTTCACACCTATATAAAGAACTTATGTTATTACCGCTCCAGGAACGCCTACTATTCAATAAAGCTAAACTTATTCATAAAATCATATCTTAAAATGCTCCATGTTACCTTGGGCCATTATTTAAATATTATTATTTCAAGCCAAATATTACGCTCAGTAGTTTGCCACCGGCCCTTCGTAGTCAAACCTGGCACCCTATGAAGCGCATTCGCAATGCCTGAGCCGCTGATGCTGTGGTGAGTACTGGCACCTTGTTAAGGAAAAACGTCTTATTATTAAAAATATGTTATTACTACGCATTTAAACAAGGTAAATGCCCACTGATATCTCTATACCTCCCTCCCCACAATCCCCGTTTTCCTTGGGTCGGTGCCCCATGCACCACTTGGTGATGAATTGATGTATGACAAGCTAGAGATTGTGAGGACCCTTTTGAAACGAGTGAACAGTGCGGATGCGCAGATAGATCATTACGGTCTGAGGAGAATAGCGCTGCGAGGAGTTACCAGGGGATGTAGCTAACGCTCAACACTCAAGGGAAGGATGAGACGGATATACAATCAGACGGTTACTGGTGCCATCGGAATTGAAACTCTTCGTTTGCTGCTGAAGATGGGGACGGAGTACTTATGGGAGTGCCCCGAGTACTGTAATGTCGTTTTTTAATTCGGCATCCATACTTTAAGAATTTGCTACAGAATACAAAACATCTATGTGTATGCTTGGTATGCCATTATGGCAACTTTTAAATTAGTAATAACGAATAGATAATTTTTACACGGTCAATATATTCGGTAAGATCTAAAGTAGGCAAGCTTATTTGTAACATATGGTTAGTTGCGTATCCTTTACAGGACGTTGCAGAACCAACCCCATCAGCCCCTGGCTGTTGTGTGGTTTCACTAGGCAAATTTACGTCCAGTAGTTTGCCATTGCTTGCTGGATTGTCAGCTTTCTTGATACCACTGTCGAAACCAACGCGTATGGCCCGCAACTGGGATCGAACCCGGTACCCCAGCATTTCGAAGGTTCGCATAGACTTGGCCACAGAGCCGACTATTTGTAACATATACTACGTACAACGATTATACCTCCGACCTGGCCGCTTCGAGATCTACTGACAAGACATCGACCTGGCCACTTCGAGATACCAAACTACGTGATTTTGTATATTTGTGTGGTATTATTTTATTTATGTTTCTGGCCAGATACAATCTCAAACACTAAACTACTTCAAGCCACAAACCAAGAAACTTTAGACAGTATGATTACCAAGAGAAGATGGAAATACCTGCCAAAACAGCTCTCACATGGTCACCAGAGGAAAAGATAAAACAGGGGCGCCCAAAAACAACATGGAGACGAACGATGGAAAGTGACCTGAGTGCGGCATCTTTGACATGGAAAACTGCACTGAAGATTGCCCAGGACAAGAAAGCATGGAAAGTCCTCTCTGAAGCCTCATGTGCCACTAGGCATAACGAGAACTGATGATGATGATGATTGTATTTATGTATTTGCTGATGAGGGCTCCATAGCCGCAACTTTAACGTTTTGTTTGTGTTCGTTATATTGTGAAGCTTGCTGATATATTTTTTGCAAGCCATGCACCAGCAACAGTCAGCTAATACCCGTAGATACCACCACAAAGAGATCTGGACCACACCAGACCCAAAGACCACAAGCAGCACAGCAAGGAAGCAAACAACCGGAATATCAGGTGTGACTACACACCACAAATAAAAGGAAACCATAGAAGACAGCTAAGGAACCTTCCTCGATATAGCAGGCCTCCGGGCGGCTGAAAAAGGATCAAATTTGGAATTTTTTTTGGACGAATTGGAATTGGAAATATATTTTTTGTTCGGTTTTTTTTTTTTTTAACGTATCATACAAAGCAAGACGTAGATAGATAGCGATACAAGATGAAGGATAACATTTAGAAATTAACACAGAACAGTCCTATCGATTGTACAACCACAATAATAAACAGAGCGCGCTGGTGCTCCGTTGCGGCCACCCATCATAGTGGAGACGGCGCCTGCTTTATTGGCTGGAACTAGAAACTGCCAAAGTGATGTAATTATCTATACAGATGGCTCTGTGCTGAAAGGTAGACGAAGTGCATGGGGGTTCATAGCAAAAGCGAATGGACGTCGCTTAGTGCAACAAAACCTGGGGTATGATATCACAACGTCTAGCTTGAGAATGGAGGTCGAGGCAGTCACTGCTGTCACATCTGGCCTGAGAATCAACTGTACACACATGTTGCAATTGTAACTGACTCAAAGAGTATGTGGAGACTGGCATGCTCCGTGCAGAGGTCCCGGGTAGTTAGCGTCCTTTGGATATTTTCTCCAGGCAATGCCGGTGTGCTGGGAATCAAACAGGTAGATAGACTGGCCAGTTCTGCACCACGCTGTGGTGAATTGATGTATGACAAGCTATATGTTGTGAGGGCACAAATAGATCATTAGATCTGAAGAGAATGGCGCTGCGGGAGTTGGCCATGTGATCTGGCCGACGCTCAATACTTAACAGTGAGGCGAGACGAATGTACAATGAGACATTTACTAGTGTCATCAGAACTCTCCGATTGCTGTTGAAGATGGGGACGGAGTGCTTATGGGGGTGTCCCAAGTGCTGTGATTGTTAATTCAAAATTCAACTAGAAATAATTGAATATGCACAAGCGTTACCACAGCAATGGTTGGAAAAGGAAGAAATTCTGGACACTGACTTTTCGGAAGCACAAAGTAATCGATCTTATATCCACCTTGAACGTCAAGCAGGAAAATGGTTTTCGGACAAGCCACCCGCGCTCTTGTTAGAAGATTTTCAACCACCGCCGCCAGGAGGAGCCAAGAATGGCAGCAAGAAGGTGTTCCTGGATCTGTAAGTAATAATACTTGTTTGTTATGTGCTCTTTTAGACAGCTGTATGACAGAAATGATTTCGATTTCGGTTGTTGTGAAGGTCACCTGCTGGCTGCCATAACGGACGGCGAACAATCAAACAATGACTTTGCTGTGGCATTGTTGTGTGCAGATACTTTAAAATAAATTCAATAACATCCTGAAGCTGCGGATCATAGTATTAATATCTTTATTGCTTTCTTCTTCTTCGCGCTCATCGCCTGTGAAGTTCTGGTTGTTCGTCCACTTTCTGACGTTCTGGACTTAACTTTCACTTTGGTCTTAAAATCTTGGCTCTCCTTGCAGATCCGGACGAGGGTTGGACGACTTAGTTCAGTTGAGTGGGAGTTCTCTCCCTTGGCCGCACTCGAAACAGTGAGCGGAAAAGTCACAAAACAAATGACATACTTACCTATCATCATACGGTTGCTGTTAGGGTTGCGTAGTCATCATACGGTTGCGCAAAGGGTTGCGTAGTCATCATACGGTTGCGCGAAGGGTTGCCTAGTCATCATACAGCTGCATGTAGGGTTATACCTATCATCATACGGTTGCGTGTACGGCTGCGTACGGTGTAGGGTTAGGGTTAGGGGTAGGCTTAGATGTGACAATATTGACGTAGGAGTTCCAAATACTGGCCGACAATCTGATGCTTGTGGGAGTGGCGCCACTGGAAGTCTGTCAAATATGACCGCAATAGCGCGCAGCTGGTGCCCAACCGGTGGCGACGTGTCCGTGTCAGTAGCATCCACAGTCCGTCGACTGTTTGGGTGTGTATGTGACAGTGCGCGATTATTGGGAATTCCAGCGTCGTCAAAATTGTCACATCTAATGCTAAACCTAACCCTAACCCCTAATCCTAACCCCTAACCCTAACCAACACCCCTAACCCAAACCCTACGCAGCCCTACACGCAACAGCATGATGGACTACGCAACCCTTCAGGCAACCGTATGATGACTACGCAACCCTACAAGCAACCGTATGATGACTACGCAACCCTACAAGCAACCGTATGATGACTACGCAACCGTATGACGACTACGCAACCTTACACGCAACCGTATGATGATAGGTAAGTATGTCATTTGTTTCGTGACTTTTCCGCTCACTGTTTCGAGTGCGGCCAAGGGAGAGAACTCCCACTTAACTGAACTAAGTTGTCCAGCCCGCATCCAACCCTCGTCCGGATCTGCAAGGAGAGCCAAAATCTTAAATATATCAATATGATTATTTCAGACACTTTACACTGAGTTTTTAATTTTGTGTGCATATCAATATCCATAATTTAGCTCATCAATATCCATAATTTGGCTCTCCTCCGAATAATGGTCCTAAATTATCTACATAGAAAATGAACCCTAACAGAGCCTGTCATAACTAAAATTCGCATTTCTTTTGCGGCGAATCAACCGCGTCAAAAGTAGGATTAATTGCGCACATTTTAGCGAAATGCAACAGACTTTTTTTTTACGACGATTAAACGGTGGCATAACTAGGATTGCCTACAGCAACGTTGGGAGTTCCAATGCCGGCACAGATAGAAAGAACAGATATTCGGGCACCATTTGCAACTTCTGTGCCACAATTTTCACATATAAACGATTTAATTATCGGTAAGTAGTAGACTTTTCCCTCATACCTTTCCTTCCTTATATTTTCCGAGTTACAACTTTTAAATCTTTGTAGGGCAACACGTAATGAGGCTCTGTTAGGGTTTACTTTCTGTGTAGATAATTTAGGAGGATTCTTCTGAGGAGATCCCATAATTTTACAGATGTTGCTTATTTGTACTATTCATACTGTCTGCTCTCCTCCGAACTTCTACCCGGCATTATGGCGGCCAAACAAATATCCTAACAGGGCCTCAGTCCTATTAAAAATATGCGACGAACGAATCATGGCAAAACTAGGATTACCTGACAATTTCAAGAGACACAACACTGCAGACGATAATAGCGACCGTTGACACTTTCGAGCGTTTCTGCATATGATACTAGCAGGCGATAATAGCGAAGCATGTGACGATTTTGACACACGCAACATTACAGACAATAAAAGCAACATGGCGGGGAGACAACGCGCGCTGACGCAGATTAGCTTCTTGGCATGCGCAAAGCGCAGTTACATTCACCGCCAGCAGTATCCCCCGGCGCCGCGCGTGGGGGGAGGGGGCTAAACTAGATGCCTGGGATTCACAAATTTAGCCCCCAATCCGCGTAGCGGCGCGTTAGATACGGACGTCGGTGAGGCATAGTCACAAAAACAGGTCCGCAATTAACACATCGCTGAGACCCTGTTAGAGCATTTGTTTCGCTATACCGAGCCGATCCTAGTTTTGCCGCGATTCGTTCATCGCCGGAAGTTTGCATATTTTTAATGGGACTGAGGCCCTGTTAGGATATTTGTTTGGCCGCCATAATGCGGGGAGTAGAAGTTCGGAGGGGAGCCATACTGTCAGTCTGTTGGTTCCTCACCTCTCTGGCAGATACACTCCAACTTCAAACGAAAAACCCTAAATTGGTCAGCTATTAATATTATTATCCCCCGATCCCACAAGCGAAAAGTTTCCAAAAAGGTCTGGATTATCAGGACAATGTTGTGGGGGTGGGTTCATTTTTCTGACTAGTACAGCTCTAGAAGCAATCATGTAGAGACACTTTTTTCAGAAATTCATGGAAATTGTCTTTTTTGATGTTGAGCGAAAAGAGCAAGAAAATAGACTGACCAATTAATGATCTGATTTGAATGTCATAACTTAGAATATAGCAAATTATTAGTTATTTGCTGAGTGACTTATATTTAGCTATTTTAATACCTCTTACCGAAGTAAATGCGCTCTGCCCATTTACAAAAACCTAGCATCGATTTTTGCCTTTCGGCCAACACATCTGATTTCTGCCGGCATTTGATGCCTGGGTGTTTTAATACAATGAATGACATAAATTGTGAGATAAGATCAGCTTTGACTTTCTGGGTCGAATACTACATATAAGAACTAAAGAAGATATGCAGCTGGTCAAGTGCTTAGAATACTAGGCAGCAGTCATCTAGGATCGAACCTCAGTAAGGGGTAGAGGTGTTTTTTTTTGTCAGCAGCGAAACATTTAAATCCTTAGCCGTGCAGTTCATGGCAACTGCACTAGCCATTGAGTGGCCTTAAATCTTCAGGTTCATGACCCCCCAAATCAGTTTTTCTTTTCTAGTCCTTTTCTGCCTTTCAGCATCAGATTTTGAAGAGGCATTGGGTGTGAGCCTCAGTACGCAGCAGCTGGTGTCTGCAGCCTCAGACATTCCATCTATTCATTGGACTAAAGATAGTAAACTCAAGCAGTAAAGACAGTTTTATTTTACTTATATCGTTGATGAGATAATATAGCCTTACGCTTTTTCACCATTTCCCTTTCAGAACCTGCCATTTAATATCAACAACAAATACAGGCTGACGCTGTACTTTGTCCTGTTCTTCAGCAGTGGTTTGAGTGCCCCATTTCTCATCATGCGACGACATCTGCTGCTGCAGTCCTCGCAGTAGGGATGGCACTTCATACTTTATGTATGTCCACATTTTTTGTATTCGCCTCATGCTGTTCTTGGCTGTCAAAAAATTCATTTTAAATTATGACATAAACGTGATATTTGACTATTTTTTTTACATAATATTTGTATTGTTTCTTGTCAAATACATTACTATAGAATTTGCAGTAACAAACGATGAAGCACAGAAACAAATTTGAATCCATCAGCTGATGTACACAAATCACGGGATTGTGATAATCATGTGAAATGGTCAAACATGACCACCGATGCTTATTGGCACATCGCATCACTGTGCATCTCAGTACACAAGTCTAAAAGTAACCATGCGATCCTGTTTAACATTAATTTGTGAATATTTTCCTGCTGAGCATTAGAATGTCCTTTGGCAGTAAAATATTCAACACCTGTAGAGGAAACATGAGTTTCTATGCAGTAGTGCTTTGTTACTGCATTGGGAGATAGCTCACTATACCAGCCTGACTGATAGATGCCAGCCCTTTTCCTGGCACAGACATGCTGAAAATGTACCACTGGCTGGTGAATTCTTTTTCATATTCACCGACCGTAAACTCCAGCAGAAAGTTATGGCCATTTGGCTGCTTCTGGACTCTAGTTCCATAAGCTAACTGTTGTGTGCATGTCAGTTTCACGGATCTGAATCATTTGAAGGCAGGCTGTTGGTTCTTTGCCTCTCAGACAGATGAACTCCAACTTTAAAAGATCCTTGCAGTTAGCCGGCTCTTATGACATGCTTTTGAAAAGGTAGTGGGTTTGTTCTTGTTTTTCCCATAATGGGGCCCAGAACCCAAATGGGTAGCTTGTGAATTGAATGTTGAATTATTAAAAATCAGTGTCACAGCACTCAGGATGCCCAAATAAGGCCGCCCATCTTCAGCAGCAGGTGCAGAGTAGATTTCCATGGCACCAGTAACAGTCTGACTGTGTATCCCTCTCGTCTGACTGTGTATCCCTCTCGTCTGACTGTGTACCCCTCTCGTCTGACTGTGTACCCCTCTCGTCTGACTGTGTACCCCTCTCGTCTGACTGTGTATCCCTCTCGTCTGACTGTGTATCCCTCTCGTCTGACTGTGTATCCCTCTCGTCTGACTGTGTATCCCTCTCGTCTGACTGTGTACCCCTCTCGTCTGACTGTGTACCCCTCTCGTCTGACTGTGTATCCCTCTCGTCTGACTGTGTATCCCTCTCGCCTTTTCCTGGAGTTTTGAGCAGCAGCACTATTTCTCCCCCTAGACTGATATTTTTGCTTATGCATAGTTGACTCACCAGAGTTACAGAGTGCGTACTCTGTGCTTGATACTATCTTATACCATCTCAAGCTGAGTGGGAATTGATGCATGAAAAAGCAGGTGTGGTATAGGCCTTGTTCCCATTTGGTAGTCCATGGACTTGAGGTTGTCCTTGGAATTTAATGTTATCATTTCCCAAGAGCACCGCTCCCTCAGGTTTTTGTTTTTCTCAATTCTAATATAAATTAACTCTTTTCTTTTAAATCTTCTTATGTCCATGCCATGTGGCGTAGATAGTCACGTCTGTTCACAACCTTCAATCTCATATAGTTTCAGTCAGTTCTGATACAGATGATCTTCCGTGCCATGAAATCAAACCGTCCAACATCTTCTCTTGGTCTCCCTCTGCCTCTTTTCCCCTCCAACTTTCCCACCGTCCGAATTTACTCGTTTTCTTCTTCTCATGGCATGACCTTATGATCGTGGGCAATCAGTTCTCTTCATAATTTAGTTTATGACTGTTAGAAATTATAGGATATTTGGCAGACTTTCAGAATTAAGAGAGGTTTGTGTGTTACTTGGGGGGGGGGGGTGGTAATAGCTTGTGTCATAGACAGCCTAGCTATAATTAAAAAAACTTGGTTCAGTCTTTCTTAGGACTCGCAATCAGCTGACCTTTGGAAATGTCCGCAAGTTTAAGGTCAATAATTGACATCTTGATTTTGGGTGGGGGTGGGGTAGATATGATTATATAAAGTTATTGAACTCAGGTTGTATTTATTACAGAATCCAGCAAACTCGTCACTCTCATCCATATTCTTCTTTAGCTTGTCCTCGTCTGTGTCTAATGAATGGCTCTGTTCAAATATTACATCATAATGAGTTTCGTCTATGGCATTTAAAATGCCACACTTCTTGAATGGCTTGCCTACAATCTCAATCTTCACATCTCAGGATCATTTCACCCAGGTACAAACTTCTCTCACCACTCTTTGAAGGGTTTGTTAATGCTGATATTAGGCTGTTGAATCTTAGTGGTGTATAAGACGCACACTGTTTTTAGACTCAATTTTTGGGGACGGAATAAGTGAATCATCTATATGGTAATCACACCAAGAAAAAGTGCAGAAAGAATTTGGAAAAAAAAAGGTATGTCAACCAGCATCCCTGAAAGGGGAGCTATAGATTATAATTGTGATTAGGTTATGTGCGAAATATAAAATGGCTTTGCATTGCGCGCAACCAACAGCCCTGAAAATGACTTCTGCAGTGTTGATATGATCAAAGGAGAACAAACCCAAATACTGTCCCGACCGACGGCAAAGTCATCTACCAGCGACCCGGTGATGACGTCAAGTTAATCCCATCTGCAGAATGGCCAGCTGCCTTTCTAGAACAGCACACAACACAACCTGCCTGGCTCCAGGTGTCTCTGTGACATTGTACTTACTGACTTTTTTGTGATCTGTTTTCTACAGGTGAATGCTTTACAAATGTTACGAAGGCTGTTTGAAGAGGATGATTCCTAGAGCAGTAGAGATCCCCAGAATAAGTGCAGACGGACACAGCAAACCTGCATCGCCATCAGTGTAGACTTAGCAGAATAGAGATGGATAATTTGCCTGGTTGTGTTTACTCGTTTTGACGATTATCAGGCTAAAAGAGAATTTTTGTATTTAAAAAAATACTGATAACAGGGACTTTTATATACATAACACCAAAAAGGGGATAGGGCAGGAATTGTTGAAAATAAAACTTTATATTCACACCATTAAAAAAAAAATGTATACATGTATATAGAAAATAGCATACTTTGTTTGATATCAGTAAATATACATACCCAGATATGGTATACTTTAATCTTATATTTGTGTTATGATGCTGGTTATCAGTTTGGAGTTACTAACTTTGGCCAGAGTTTTCATATAGGTAAACTTAAGTATAATGGCCTTCTTTATAGACCCAAAAAAAAGTGTTGATGTATTTTGAACTCTATATACACCTGCATCTTGGAGGTTTCCCTGATTGTCAGTTTTGTAATTTTTTGTTAGTGGAATTTGTTGCTAGTCTAGTGGGTTTGTTTCTGTGGCAGTATGTTCTTGTACACTTTGGGGTTTCTATTAGTGTAATACATTTCTTTATTTAAACAAATATCAGTTGTTGTTGGATTTCTTTTGCCTTGAGAATGTGTGTGTGATGTGAATGCTTGAGAGTGACGAATGAACTTAACTTTTGGGAGGGGGTAATGTAGAGAAGATTGTGGGAGAGAAAAGCTGAAACCAACAGAAATTGAATGTCTGTGATGAATAACAAGAAGGGATATGATGAGGAAGCATATCAGGAAACTAGTTTGGATGTAACCGGTGCTAAGCTACACCAAGGAACAACAGATCACATGGTTCGGATATGTGTCACAAGATAGTAAACAACAGAAAGCACTGTCACAAGACAACAGAAGCAAACCTAGGGGACACCCATGCAAGCGATAGACAGACAGAATACCCGAGGGCATGAATACCGGCATTTGTGTAGCACACACCAAGGTTTACATCAAATGCCTCTTCTAAACCTGATGCAGACAGGCACACACACAAAACGAACTGGTATTGGCAAGTTACATTGGGCACTGCACAATTTATTGCCAGGCATATTTGATCTCTTCAGGTGTATTACTAGTTTAAAAACAAAACAGGAAACCTTTAATATTTTAACCCCTCTAGTTCCAAAAACGATAATGCAATAGATACTTAGATCAATGACTTGAGGTGGTATATGCCTGGGATAGAAAGGGTTAACATCATCACTGAAAGAACACAGCTCTTGACATGGGTTGCTTATGTCTTATCTTCATCCTTGTGTGCTGTTTATATGTTACAAAGGGCCTTTGGTCTATTCCTCTGTTCCTTTCAATCAAGTGCAATATTTTTTATGTCATGAAGGAAATCACTAGCCCAGCAACTTTGGCCTCTGTTCATCAATGTTCGTCTTAGGATTTTTCTTGGACACCCTCATTTCCACAATTGATTCTCCAATATGGGACCTGCTTGGTACTGGGACTTGTGCCCGGGTGATTTTTATCCAAATGGTGGCGCTTTGTGTCATCGGTTGCTCATCACTTGGCGTGCTGTCTTGGTGAGGTTGAAAATCAGTCTTTTTGGTGATTTTATGTGCTTTTTTTTCTCTTCAGAATGCCCGCTGCACATTTCACAAAAAGTGACTAGTTTGCAGAAAATGCCCAGGTTTGGCAGCCTAGCTGTAAACCACAAAATTGCTTGCCAGCCACCCTTTTAAGAGTGAACACAAAAGTCCTGAATACATGAATCTGATACTTCAAGTATTGTAAGCAGTCTTCTACGTCATACCGGAGGGCAGTACACATCATTAAAGTCATGAGGATTCATTTCATTACACCGTGGTTGATCATACCAGGCTCAGTCTTTCTCACTAAATATGAAACTGAGAGTGTCACAAAAAGGACAAACCCTGTAGCTCCAATGGAAACTAAAAATGACAGGCATAGGCCAAAAGAGCTGATCGAACACACACCCTTCCAAGCTTGAGGCAGATCTTAGCCAGGAGCAGTGTGAGGAGGGGCTGGCCAAGCAGTTATTTGATGTTTTTGTCTCGTAGACATCATGTTCAAATTGTGGGTAAGGTGATGAATTTTCTTCTATCGAGGAGCAAAATTAAAATCCCAACCCGCACAGTCTGTGGCGACTGCACATGCCATGTGGCTCTAAAATCTCATGCTGTAGTCCCTCAGCCCATGTCCTAAAGAGACAGTAAAGGATCCTTTCAACGCCTCCAGGTATATAGGGCTAGACCTATATTTTATAGACCAGCTGGCTGATAGGGTCAATGCCTCACTGGTGGTCTTTACTTCGCAGGACTTTACCTGCTACCCATGTATTCGCATTAGCAGTTGTCTGCTTCGGCCTGGTTTTCTGAAACATCTACCCTCCTTCACCGCTTTCTCCAGACCACTATGATGCTCGACACGTCTCAAATACTCAGCTTTCAGGGGAGGATGCTGTTAGTTAACAGTTCGCCTGAATGTTCCGGGACACGCAGGCGTCGATGGAAATGAAAGAGCTGACAGGTTGGCTAAATCCGTTATCACTACCGATGGTCAGCCTATGGATAATGCTGATATTATTAATGCCCTCAGAGAAATGGGAAGGGTAGAGGACTTTGGTGGCAGTGAATCCACATCACTCGACAGAATGGCAGACTTGGGAATTAAGATCGGCACAGCAAAAAACGAGACGCACACCAGACACGCCAGAAGACTTGTTAATCAACATAGAACTGGTACTATTAGCCATCGGACGTTGGGATTCATACTGAGGGGAGGATCTGAGCACCTATGGACATGTCCGGAGTGCAATGATGATAACCCAACTAACTAACCTACCTCCTTAGAAACAGAAACCAACACCGATTGCTACAAGAGTATTTTAGAATGGAAAATCACTGTCAATTACACCGTCTGATGACAAGACCCACAGGAGTTGAGTCAAGAATTGACATCACAGCACTCGGGGCATTTCCATGCTGGCTCACTCCTCCTCTTTAGCAGCCAGCGCAGAGTTCCAGTACTGATGGTACCAGTCACATTCTGGATATATGTCCGTTTTGTCTTTCCTCTGAGTGTAGTGAGCCGGCCAGACCCTCTGGTTACACCCAGATGTCTCATTCTCTCCAGCCAAATTAATCTTCTATCAATAACTGATTCCGTTGCTTCTTTCCGAAGGGCCTTGGCCACATCTGTCTTGTCGTGTATCAGTTCCCCACCCAGTGGTGCAGATCCAGCCAATCTGTCTGCCTGTTCATTACCTACCACGCCGGCATGGCTTGGAGAAAATATCCAACGTATGCTTACTAACCGTGACCTTTCCAGTTAAGCTGGCCACTCTGCTCGAGGCATTCCTGTCTTCACCTTTCCTGGCATGCCTCTCTAGAGTCTGTTGCAATTACGACATGTGGATGCATCTTGGAATTACTGGAAAAAATTATCTGAACAAGTTTTACACAATGGAAATCGCAAAGATACGCAAATGCTCCGAGCAGCTGAAACGGTTGTACGCTATCGAATTATTATTAGTTTTGTTCTGCAAATGGATTGGATTGACTAGCACCATATTTCCAATATAACTCAAGGTGTGCAGACGTCTATTACTTATTTATTCACTATCTCGTCATCGCTTCCCCCAGAGGCCATTACCTTGTAGTGGTGGGGGAGCTTGAGAGCCTCAGATAGCTATGCCGGTGGGAACGTATGTTCCTGGGAGTGTCACCCAAGCCGGACAAGTCATTGGTGAGGGGCCAGACTAAAGATGGTCTCCAGGTTCGGGGGTTGGGCGCAGTGTTGATAGCTCTGCCCTTTAAAAAAAAAAAAAACTACAACGTTACTGAAACTTCAAGAGGAAATAGTGCTCTAAACGTCCGGCGGTCTTGTGACAAAGTCTCTCTGTCAACATGAACGACATGGGTGAAAGCCGAAAGGTAGCCCATGATGGGAAAACAAGTCTACTGGATATTAAAACCAAAATAAGAATTGGCTTCTGGAATGTAAGAGCCATGTTTGAAACGACCAAAACCGCCCAAGTAATTAAAGAAATGCAGAACTATAAACTGCATATTCTTGATACCAGATGGAAAGAGAAAAAAGGGGAGCCCAAAAACAACACGGAGACGAACGATAGAAAGTGACCTGAGAGTGGCATCTTTGACATGGAAAACTGCATTGAAAATTGCACATGACAGAAAAGCATGGAAAGTCCTCCCTGAAGCCTCATGTGTCACTAGGCATAACGAGAACTGATGATGATGATCCCATCGCGTAGCAGCAGATATTTTGCAGAACGGTTTTCTCATCACAGCACGCCATAAAGTGAATCTCGTCTGCTTGCCAACTTTCCCGCCTAGTAAACTTTTCATAGAGGATGAAGGAATGAATCAAGAATTGACGTCACTGCACTCGGGTTATTCTTATTTGTGCTCCGTCTTCCTATCCAGTAAGCAGCTAAGAGTCATGCTAATAAAGAGTATCCTTGATATTCTATGTCCATTGTCGTGCTGGTAGTCTTCTACCTCTTCTTGCAGGAACCATACCCTCCGTTGACCTTTACCCCCAAATCATTAAGATGGTAAAATTTGGGTAACCTGCAATCCGATACGGGTAGGGACCCTTATGTTCTTCAGAAGGGATGGCTTAAAAGTAGTCACAATTAGGGGGGGGGGGCCTACAGTAACCATTAACTGGGATGAAGAGAGTTATTAACTAATTCCTTTCCATCCAATCTAGTGTTTACGAACGTGTTTGGACAATCGTTGTTAACTACAATAATAAATTCAACAAGATGACAATACATTGGCATATCCTGAGAAACTGCGAGCAGAGGCAGTTACTAAACAGGAATTTCAATGTTCAACAAATGGACTGAGGAAACGAAAATGTCCATAAGAAACCATAAAACGAACGTTGATCTTCGGCATTTGCGGTGACAAGCGCGGCTAGTACGTTGCGTTAGGGTTTACAGCTAAGCCGCGATATCTGTGCCTTTTGACCCAACACATTTTTTTTTTTGTTTGGGTCGGTCTCTCCCCCCCCCCCCCCCCCACATGCCCAGCCTGGCCGCCCGACCACCCGAAGGATATTACGTCGGTAATCCAGGCTGAACGGGGAAACCGCCCGGCAGATTTTTTAAGATGGCATTGCCTATTGGGTTTCTCCCGTGATTTGTGGATGTGACCGATCCCGGGCTCTTTTGGCCATACCAGTGCAGCAAAGCTACACTTTAGTCTTAGCCAAAAGGCCGAGAAGCGATCCAACACATTCTATTTCAACAAACTACTAATTATTCACCCTTTATGACATGCTTTTTATGGGTGGTGGGTCAATTTGTGATAAGAGAACGAACCAACCAAAAGTGCTGGACTGGATTCTATCCATGATATTGAAAACTTTTTCACGGGATAAAACGGAATGGAAGAAAAAAATTGCGATTCTTATGTGACATGTAACGGCAAATAAAAATGATGAAATGGTGACGATGGTATATTGTGACAGTCGATGTCACTACACAATGGTCATTATTGCCATGCGTGCTCAATTCGCCGATGCAGCAGCCATTCCAGTGTACCTATACTGACTGTTTCCAAAAGAAGCTGGTTATAATGTCGCCTATCTCGGCCTCGAAGCTGGCATATTCATGCTTCATCATACTTTACTTCCATGTCACGCAATCGTATTAGTGTCATAGATTCGTCATGATGATGATGATGAATGAATTATATTCGGATCTTGTAGAACCCGGTGACCGTTTTTCCAAGAGCCAGGGGACACAACCGCATGTTTACCGTCTGCACTGAGCAGAGTTCATTCTATAAATACATGTCTGAGAGCCACAAATGATCGCAGTGAGCGAAGTTTATCTCGATCACCGACCTTCTAGGACATGCATTTCCACTTCACAGACTGAAAATGTTATCCGTTTACATGTAAGAAATATTTATTCGTGCTGTCAGCATAAGTCGCCACAAGGACGGTTGCAAAAGTAAGTGAATAACTCCCTGCTACTTAGAGTCGAACTGTTCATGTTTTGAAGGGAAAAAAACCACAATGTAAAGTGAAGTGTCATCTTGGGGTTCACTGTTTCTGTTTATTTCTCATTAAAATTCAGATGTAGGTATAGTTAATGTGTTTTTAATGGCTGCAGGACGACATATTAGTTAAAAAATGTGAGTGTTTGACTTAAGAGTTTTACATTTTAAAAACCAAATTCATAATTTAACCGAGAAAGTGTCTAGTATTTTACCAATGTTGGTACTACACGGGCTAACGATCTACACAATTGTTGAAAATCCAGTTTCGTCCTTTTCAGGACGAAATTTTTTGTCATTTGAAGCCCTACTCTGGCTTTTGCCAGGGGCCGCAATATAGGCAGGCCATAAAAATGGCCAAATGTCTGAACGCGGTTTCTGGGACCTCTCCACGGCGATCCTCATCCGCATGGTGGCACTTTGTGTCATCGGGTGTTTATCGCTTGTGTGATGTCCTGGTGGGGTAGAAAGTCAGTCAGTCAGACAATTGTTGAAGTAAAGTCACGCAGTGTTTGTAATTCTAAATTCAGCGACTATGTATAGTTTATGATTCGCAAGAGATGAAAACTATTTATTAGGTACAATTAAATACTGTAAATGTGTTAGAGTTTTATAT